AATTATTTGTTGTTTCTCATTTCTTTCTAGGAGTTGAAGAGAAACAGTTAATTTAGTACAACTGAACAAAGAGAATTCTTGAAAAACTAAAATAAGATGGGTAATGAGAGTCGTTGAAGATATCACTATTAAGGCCAACTGTATCTATATATCCCCTATTTAATTGCTCTCCAGAAGCTGACCCAATATAACTTTTATCTTCTCCTCGAATATGAAATCCATACCCAACTCCAAATATCCAACTGTTTTGAATGTCACGATGAATAATTAATTGGTTTTCATTTTTTAGGTTTTGTTTAAAACGAGTAGGTGGAACATTATAAGGATTCTTCAACGTAAACATGAAATGTTTTTTATCATCACAAAGAATAGAAGATTGTCTTTTTGGTATGATAGAATGGTATGACCCAAAAACATTACCAGTAGTTGTACAAATAACTGTGACAATATTTGTTCTGCCTTGAAGAGTTCTCCATACTTGTTTTGTTGATAATTCTTGACTTTCTGAATTGTAAATAATACAAAACTTATTAGCGTGACACCACCGAAGTAAGATACTAGCCATTGTCTTATCTGAATTGTCATCAAAAAAAATAGTATTAGGAGAATAAATTTGTCTATGAAGATTGTCTATAATTTTCATAAAAATATTTTTCTTTCTTTCTTCTTCGTTTTTTGTTTCATCCACCTTTATAGTCTTATTACTTAAAAACATTATCCTTAATTATTATATTATTGTAGAGATTGTTTTATATGATTGTCCATTCATTTCATTTAGAATCCGAGAAGTTTAACTGAAAAGGTAATAAAAAAGAAATAGAATGAATAAATGTGTGATTACTAGTAAATTATATTAAAGGAATATTAAATAAAAGTTGAGAAAAGAAGTTAGATTTGAGAGAAAACGAACCCTAAAACAAAGGAAAAAGAACTTAAAATTAGAAGGCTAAGTTGAAATGGTCAAGTATTGCACAAAGCCTGTTAATGTAGCTAAAGCAGCTCAAGCACGTGGTGACAACCTTAAAGTTCACTTTAAAAATACTTACGAAACAGCTGATGCTATTAGAGGAATGAAAGTTGCTCGTGCACAAGAATTTCTTAAAAACGTTATTATTAAGAAAGAAATTGTTCCATTCAGAAAACACAATGGAGGAGTTGGACGTAAAGCTCAATGCAAAGGATTAAATTGTGCATTTGGAAGATGGCCAGTCAAATCAGCACAATTCATTCTTAAACTTCTTAAGAATGCTGTTGACAATGCCAAAGCAAAAGGACTTAATACAGCTCTTTTAACTGTCAGCCATATTGCTGTTCAAGAAGCTCGTTCATCAAGAAGAAGACTTTATAGAGCACACGGAAGTATCAACTCCTTCTCAAGCAGCCCATGTCATATTGAAATTATTTTAACTGAAAAAGAAAAGAAAGTTGTTAAACCAGTTGAAGGAGTTAAAGGAAAAAAATCTGCTCATCAAACAGTTTCCTACGTTCTCAATTAAATAAAAATGAATTTTAATTATAAAATTCTTGACAGGGTGTGCATCATTTTTCTTTTTTATTTAAAACATAAAATTAACATAATTAGTTTTAATTTTTTATATCTTTGAATTAGAATAAAGAACATTCATCATTTGTAAAATAAAAGTAATGTTGAATACATCTCAAAACCAATCCAGGTTGATATCCAAAAAGTTTATACCAATAATAGGCTAATGTAATAACAATAATATGTGAGTCCATTCTGTCAAACATTCCACCCATCCCTGGTAATATACTTCCAAAGTCTTTTACATCTAATTGTCGTTTTAAGCAACTTGCAATTAAATCACCAATGATACCTGATACATACACTAATATAATAAAGATTAAGTTATCTTGAGCAAGTATCCCAATTATAATCAATACAAGAAACCCTCCTAAATACCCTTCAATAGATTTGTTTGGTGAAAGAAAAGTAAATGGCTTATGTTTACCAAACATTCTTCCAAATGCCCATTGCCAACTGTCATTATTACATGTAAGGAAAATTATATACATTAATGGCATAGTTGTTCCAGTCATATATGGGATGGCTATAGAGAATGATAACAAGTGAATAGACCAATAAGATGCAAAAAACAATTTTGTGCTTTTAATAAGGTCATGAGTTTTCAATGAATAACAAGAATAAACAATAAAAGAGATAACTGGGAACATTTCGAAAGTCAGTTGATAGTTAATAGTAAGCAATATGTGGTTAAAAACAAATAACCCATATCCAATATATTTTTCACTTGTTGAGGCATGGAAAACATTATTTAATTCATGAAACAGTAGAAAACTTAATACAGCTTCTAAAACATGAAAAGTATGAACACCTAAATAGACTGTAACAACAGCAACAAGAGAAAAGATGGTTCCTGTCATAATTCTTTGTTTTTTATTAGTCTCACTTTTGATAATTTTTTCAGAATCGCTCTGTGATATAGCTTTAGTAGGTACATCAGTGTCACTCATTTGTAAAAACAGAATTTAGTTTTAATAAGTTCTATGGAATTTAACCACATTTTTTACAAAAATTCTATTTCTAGTGGATTAATAATTCATTTAATAAAAAGATTTATATGAAATAGTTTATTTTATTCTCAAAAAAAAATACCACATTAAATTTAAAATAACATTCTATTTTCGGATTTCTTCACACTAAAGTTCTTACATAATTAAGTGATAATAAGGCATATTTTCGTGATTTCAATACAATCTTATTATTACTTGTCATTGTTATCACATTTAATAAACAGAATTTATTAGTAAGAAAAAAAACAGGTAATGGAAGAAGTTATGGACATTATCATTGAACAAACAACAATATCAAACAAGTTATTCCAAAGGCAAAAAGAACTTGAAAAACAAAGGTTAATAATTGAAAAACTAACAAGTTTTGTTGCTGAAACCATAAACATTAAAAATATGAAAGAACATCCTCAGGAACAAGAGAAAAACAATGAAATGAAACCTGAGGAATAAGTTTATCATGATTTTTGATGTAATTTTTGATAAAAAAACCATTGACATCGTCTTAAAAATGTATTAAACAAACATAAAAAGGTAATTATAATATTTTTTTTCATTACATCTATTCGTTTTGATATTATTATATAAATTATTTATTTATACTTGTATTAATTCTGTATTGGCTTAAGGAATTTATACTATAATTTTGGTTTATATTTATTTTACAAATATAACTCAAGTCATTATTCTTATTGAATAATTACATCATTGATATATCATAAATTGTTTTTATTCTTTGAAAATAAATATCTTTTTCTTTATTATTAAAAGAAGAACTATTCATAATTAATATAATCATAGTACCTCTTAATTGTATATTTATTAATGAATAAATTTTAAAGAATATTAAAATGGATTGATTCCATTTCATTTATGAGTAACACTTTATGTTCATATATTTATTTACATGAATAAGATTTATTGAGAATAAGTCTTGTCAATATATATAATTCATAAATATATTGTATTAAGATATATTTACAACAACTAATGGATTATGTTTAATGTTTTTATTATAGCTCATAAGAAAAAAACAAGAAAAAGAATTATTAGTATATTTCATTTATTTTATATTTTATCATACTATTCTCATTCTTATTCATCGAATATATCTTTATATTCTCTTCTATATTCTCCACATTAGCTCATTATGTTTTTATGTTATTATTCACTATATATTTTATCAAGTTATTAATCATTATAATGTTTTGTTCTTTAATCATTCTTATATACTCTTTATTGACCACTATATTATAATTATTATTGAATTACTTTTATTTTAATCTATTAATTTGTCTTATTTTCTATTGGTGATTTTTATCCATTTCTATTTTATTAATAAATATCAGAGTTGTCATTCTGTTATTTATCAATTATCATTTTATGATATTATTTATTATTATTCTTTGTTTTTAATGAATGATATTTTCTAAAAATAGCCATATAAAAAGATGTTTTTCAATAATAAGAAAGGATTATTTTAATAAAGTATTGAGTAAAATTTAAAAAATCACACAATTTAAACAATCTCTTAATAAAATTAGTATAATTTAAATATTTATTAAATCATAATAAATTTAGATGAATTTGTTAATAAGAAAATAAGTTATTATTTAACAAGATATATTATTAACATAATTTCATTAATCAATATTCATTTAATTAAATACTATGATTTTAAATGAAAACTGAATATCCTTAGTAAGAATACTTTGAGTAATTTTTTGTCAATAATCATTTTTCTCTATAAAATATAATTATATGAAAGTATTTAAAATCAAAACAATGTTATTACGAAACACTTAAAGCTAATATCAAAAAGAGTAATAACAGTAATATTCAAAATACTGTTACATAATAAAAACAACAATTAATGAAATAAAGAATATTTTTTTAATACAAACCTTACTTCTTTTAACCGAAAATAGTGTCTAGTAAAATAGATAATTTATGTTGTTTAAAAATAATAGTTTCAAAAAAGGTTTTTTTAAAGTTTAAATATGTTGTTATCCATGTAATGAAATTTTAAACCAATAATCATTCAATTCAAAATAAATTATTGATGAATGCATACTTTTAGTTGAATTAAAATAATGTTTAATAAATAAAACATGACTATAATGAATATTGGTAATTTTCAAAGATTTTTTTTATAATTGTACAAACAAATCACAATAGATGTAATTTGAAGAAACAATGTGATAATG